CTAACATCGTTTGCCTGAATTTGATTTAAAATATTCAATCTTCACTTCCTATGCACTTTTATTCAATGTGGTGAATGAAGAAATCAAATATATCAAGAGACTGTAGGCGAGTGTTTGGTCCTATCCATTTTGATGTTAATGGGATTGTAGAATTATTTCAAACCTTATGATAGGGGGTGTCATTACTCATTAACACCCTGGAAAGCGATACGATATTTATCCCCGTACCCCAATTTTGTGTGAAATGTAACATGTGTAGAATTGTCGAGACAGTTCCTCACATCATCTTATGGGTTTTCATTCGTCTGGCAGCATACACAGGTAAGCAAAAAAATATGTGGATGGCTTTGAAATGAAATCATGGCTTTGACACGTAAACCAAATTCAGCCAAAAGTGGTGTCTGAACATCACCTTAGATAAAGTACGATAATCAGTTCAGACAACTTCATGGCGTGTGAGGTTTTTTTCTTTTCGAGGCACCTTATTATAAAATATGTCAGATATTACGGTGTTCTAGCTTTTTTTAAAAGACTCAAAGAGGCTTCCTGGTTCTGCTTGCGAAATTTTAATAATTATCATTCTGTTTCTATTTTTAGGATTCATTCATGACTCATAAAAAGAACAGACCGACAAGAACAAGTAGTACTGGCGATGATTTGTCAAACTCAGATTACTCTGCGGTACAAATGAGAACCTCGCTTAGAAGGTCTCGCTCGCGACCAAAGTCGTCTTTACAGTAAAGCGGGAAGTAACAGCAATAGTTATTAACTGGAAAAAAAAACTGGTCAAACTTCTTACAAGCTAACCTTAAAAGGGTTTTGGCTTTCAACGGGTCTATTTCGTGCGTTATCAACATTTTGTAAGTACTCAGCCTTTGTCGAAAGGAATTAATTTCACTTTTGTTTTTAAAAAAAATCACCGCAGTTTTTTCTTATGAAAGTGGCGGGATGTCAAATTGATAACACAGTTCAATGATTTCTTGTCCATAATAACCTGAATAATCCAACAGAAGCTTTTTGCTGAATCATTTCCACTCTTCCCTTCTCTAAGCGGAATTTTCTGGTGTTGTTAGTTGTTGCGAGTGGAATTTGGTCATATCCCTGAGACGACATTCATTAATCATATGGAGTGCTCCTTTGCTTTCGTTTTGATTCTTGTATACATTCCATGGTGCGTATGGCCTTGATAACTTCAGTTGAGCTTTGTTCATTTGGGGTTACAAGTAGTTCGATTTCAAGAACGAAACACCACGAAACTATTTAAAGTCTTACTTTTGATGCTAGTATCATGATGATGCAGCCTGTAATGAGAACTTGTTTTGAAGTTTACGTACTTAATATTCCAGTGTTGGGTGGGGGGCGGGGAGGGAAATTTTTCTCGTGGATTGAAAGGCAGCGTGCGAAGCTTTTGTAAGAGACTTTGATATGAGTGAGATGACGTCCATATTATGTATCAATTGAAGTGTTTGTTACACGCATGGACGGTTTTTTACCCCTATGACTTCCACTTTTAAAGAACTATTTTTTTGTTTTCCCGAATGATTTGTTTATGTCTAGACTATATGACGCACAAAACGACACAAACACCTCACTGATCACTGTACAGTTTTAGAAATTTAGTCTGGTTTTAGAAATCACAGGGAAGTGCTTTTCCCTGTAGAAGAATTTCGAAAAAAAGCACTATACTTGTAAGCTAATAACATAGATGGAAATAAGGTTCTCTAATCTCTGAATTTCTTTCGTCACAAAACGTTTTACTCTTTCTAATTGTAGACTGTAATATATGCACATAGTAAAATTTTAATTTTAACTGAATTATTTTATTTGCAAGATTCTAATTTATTGAGTAGTTATGAATGTCAGTAGAAATTTAAACTGTCGAGCACAGTCTCAGAAATAATTTATTTCACAACTTTGACTTAGATGTTTCTTGACTGAAAGAGAAAAATTTACGTAATATATTTTGAATTGTCACTGTGTTGCTGGTCGATTTTGTATCGCAAGAAGGCTGAATATTTCTTTGTTACACTGCTAATTCTTAGCTGCGTTGCTATAAGTTTCATGGGGAGTAACTACTATTCTTTCCATTCTCAGGACATTCTGCAAATTTTAAATTTGTTTAGTACAGATTGATAGGTATAGTCTTAAAATGTTACGATGAGAACAGGAGCGTAGCTATAAAGGGAGGGGGGGTGGTCCTGGAGCGCCATTAAACCTCACCCTCTCCCCATTGCGGGTTGATCGCTTTCTTTTGTTGTTGTTTTTTATTTTGAGTTAACAACATACAAACCTTATAATTAGGTGGCAAGAAAGGACCAACTCAGTGCTCATTGGACAAAACGTCACTTTCACTAAAACTTGGCGACGACGTGTACACGATGAGATCACTCCACCTCCCCTTTTCTTTGTTACGCCCTTGCAGAAGTACTCTTCTATGTGTTCTAGCTTGAGAAGGTTTATTATAAAATAATTCAAATAGTACGCGCGCTCTGATTGGCCATAAAACCATTTTACATGAGCGTATGTAAACACGGTTTTCGTTCCTCTTTCATTAGTTATTTTGTTAAAGAAATTTAAAATGGTTTCCGTGTTTACATAGCCTGATGCAAACACGCGGGAGGTTGGGAGAACACTCGATAAGCTGGAAACCACTTCGCTTCGTGTCGTGGTTTCCTACGCTTATCTCGTGCTCTCCCAACCTCCCGCGTGTTTATATCAGGTTACGTAAACACGGAAACCATTTTACATTTCTTCATTATGTTGCTCTTTTTTAACAAACAAATAAATTTTATATTTTTGAAGGAAAAACAACCTTTTGCAGCATCGACCTAAATTTCTCGTCAAGCAAGTTTTTAAATGTCATTAATTCTGGTAAATGAAATTAGAAAAATTGTTTTAATATATATTGAGGTTCTCCTTACTTCAAACTGTTAGAATTATTGAAGATCAGCTGATTTTAGGGAGATTATTTATGTTGATCAGTTAACCCAGCGACAGTTGCTACAGACCAAAGCCTAAAAAATTTCATGTCAAATAAACACTGAGTAGAACAGGTATCGTTTGAGTGTCTCTGTTTTATCTCTTCTTTATATTCCCGCAGTATACGTTCTGCTAAGCCGAGTTGGAGGGACGTTGACAACAGCTCTAGTCGAGAAGTTAACGTTGTTGTTTTATTTTAGTTCAGCGTTAATCTCCTCGAAAAATGGCATCTTACAGAACAGTTACGAAACAGGATCAAAACCCAACAGTACTCTGCTAAGCGTAAGATTAAAGCCGGCATAAGGGAGGAAAGGGAAGGTAGAATGGTTTAAGTGCTTCTTGGTAAAGCTTAGTAGTCGATATTCAGAAGTGAAAGCGCTCCAGACACAATGAACGGTTAAGCTTCCGGTAAAATTTACATAGATCTTCCGATTCGAAGGGGCGTTAAAGAGAGAGGTGACGGTACACCTAGCAACCTTTGAAAGGAAAGAATCAGCGTTTATTAATTCACGATTACCCGTCCAAAAATGTCCAGGATTAACAAAATCATAAACTGTACTAATACACAACATTACCTGTTTCTGAGTAAGAGATGATTATCACGAAGACAGACCGATATTATTCGACTTTACAAAATCATTAGCTGCAGCCGTTTTGGTCGCTCTAGCTAGTAGGAAAAATATCTGGCGACGACATTCATAGCTGAAGACGACAATTTGGCGACTTTTGATCGGTGGTAAAGCGGCAAGCTGTAATTTTTTATTGCTTATCGTTTATGACAGAAACAATTACTTGCCATTTTTTCTGGCGACCATTTTATGACTCTGAGAAAGGTTTGGCGTGGAGTCCTGAGTTATTTATTGCATAATTAAATTACCAATCATAATTTAGATTTCACTGGTCAGTAAACTGCTTCGAAAGCTAGAATACTTTTAAGCCCTCAACTGGCGCTAGGAGCATCCTGAACCTTCCATAACTCGTGAAGTGGAAAGTGATTCAACTGGTGTAGAACAAAAGAATTCACTGCATTTATTATGCTTTTCCAAACACAAAAAGGAGATTTTTCGATTTTTAAATTGCGAAAGTTTGATGATGGAAAAGCTTGTGAAAAAAAAAAGCCTAAAACTCGTTTAAATGGTCTCTTGGAAGCCTCGAGTGGTGAGTCTACCTAAATTTGATTTTATGTCATTTTCATGATTTGCTACACGTTATCAAAAGAACGCAAAACTGCAACATTGACACACTCCGTACTCTGCACAAGTATATTTATCCCTATTTTTGGTCAATTCGTCTCATTTTCTGCTCACCCAGTCAGTGCCGTCAAGCCACGATCAGGTATTCCTGTCACCTTCCTTGGTGGTCACTGTCTTTGTTCCTAAGTAATAACGATGATCCTACGGAAAAGTGAAGAACTGCAGATCAAGTGATTATTGAGGACTGAAATATTTCCAAATGGTTCTGAGAAAAAAAGCCGTGACTCTCCAGAGCTAACTGTGAGGTTGTTCTCGCTCTGAATCAGTCAGAACTCTGATTCCCAGATGGTATGAGGCTGATTGTCGATTTCATGGCTGTATTTCAATACCGTTGACTGTAGAAGGCTCCAGATATTTTCAAGTTTATAGCGTTAAATATTTAACATATTTTGAAAATAAAACCTGATGAGTGCGCAGATCAGTAATTCAGTTCGGCTTATCTCTTTTACTGCCAATTTTCAATCTCTACTAGTGCCCTACCGATCGCTTGCAGTTCATTGAGTCTTGACGCAATGAGAAAAATTATCCAAACATATTTCTTAGAAATGTTTTAGGCTCAGCGCTTCTTATTTTGTAGCGAGGATGAAGAGAGCTTTCATGCGTGTCAAAACAGAACAGGTAAATTAACCAGCGTTGAGAGTTGACGTTCCCGCCGCGAGGATCATAAACTAACCAATCACATTAGCTGTAATATCAATTAGCCAATAAGAGTGCTGATTAGTATAGTAGGTAGAAAAGGTCAGATACCGAAGGGAAAAATTTGATTACCAGTTTACTGATCGTTTACTGCTGGTGCCAATGCTGTGTTCTTGGGGAAACGTAGGTTAGTAAGTCATTTTTGTAAGGTTTTCTGATAGTCACAATTTTTTTTAACTTTAGAAAAGGATGAATCGCATGGATGTCTACTTTAGCTGAGAAATTTGTGGTAATTATTTGGGCTTAAGATCAATTCTAATTAATTTTCCCGAGAGTAACAAATTCCCTTATCTTTTGAATTCCAAAAGAAAACAACTAAGCAAACTAGTCAATAATAATACTTGCCTTGTTTAATGTTTCACCTAGATCATTTGTTGTCGAAATCAATTCTTGTTGATATGTATTTGTTTAGTGAGTAAACAATCTTTCTGTAATTTATAGATACATATAGTAAATGAGGATCTCTGCTCTGAAAAATTAGTCGTAGTTTTTAAGACTTTAGTATTTGGTGTATGAAGCTTACTTACAGGGGTATGGCTCTACCCGATGATGCTGGTTTGATTCTTTTCATCACAATTCAATTATTTTTTAATTACTGAGTAATTTTAAAATCGAAAATATTTAGAGGGCATAATTCATTGTGGTTGGCCATTTTATACTTTTTCCTTTGAGATTCCAAAGGCTAAGTAAATGTATATGTTTTGTTATACCCGTTTTACAAATATATTGGATTAACTATAAGTAAAAATGCAATTTTTAAACATCTCAGCTGCTCTCGCACTTTACCAGATCATCTACCTATTATGCAGCCAACAGAGTCACAAAGGCTAGGAGAATACCAGGAATTGCATACAAATAAAATGACGTTCAAATTATGAGCTGCATCAAAAAAATTGAGTGAATAAGTTTTCTTTATTTACAAACATATTTGGTGGTATTTCTTATATTTATATATACAGCTTGTTCTATGGTCACCCCACTCTTCTATCCCACCCCAATATATCATGTTACACCACAGGGAGTAGTTAGTAATATTTGCATTGTTAACTAACTTCGTTTCATTTACCCTTTGAGCAGAAATTATTTAAATAAATCTAATGACATAGTTCTACAGAACAAAAATTATCACTCAGGCTGTGACAAGACAGAAGTCACCTATTAAAAAATAAGTGATAAATTGATGATAAGGTTACAGTGGAACCCTGCTAACTCAAACCCCCCAGTAATCTGAACAAGATCAGATTTCCCTAACCGATTTTTTTCAGTCATTTATCATCAGTTAACTCAAACCCCAGCCAAGTGGACCCATTTTTTGTTTCCCTTTGGAGTTACAGTTAGCTGGGTTCTGCTGTACCTTAACCTTAAGAGAATTTACTCCACCTAAAGAAATTTTATTTGTTTGGGAGTGTTCTAGAACTTCTTTTATCTTGTGCAACATAATGGTTCTCATTAAACCAGTTGTAAGAGCATGAGAAGCATCAATTTTAGTAAAAAATAAATGTAGTCATCTAATAACTATTTGTTTTATTCAAAATGAAGTGAAGAACACTCATAATTTTCAGAGAACATCCTTGATGCTTATCTATAAATATATCCACCGGATATGAACAAAAAAAAATTCAAACACTTGAATTGTTTATTTTCATGGCGCAATGTGGGATATTGTTGATATGTGTTGTGTTACAAAATAATAAATTCAGAATGTACCGGTCTTGCAATCCCAGTGAACATGATGGAATTTTTTGCAACTAGATTGAAATATTTACGTTATGGCTAAGACAAATTCTTTTTTTTCTAACAAAAGGGTAATTTCTTATCAAATATTTTTATTTAAGAGATTGGGACCTCTTAAAGATTTGCAAAACTAAATTTTTTCTATACATTTGGTTAAGCACCCTGCCACTTAGATTTTGTTGGACATCATTTTTCAACTGTTCAGGAATTATTGGTTTTGGCTGCTGTGTATTGACAGTCTACCACTGTCTTTTTCCCAGAAAAATAAATAAGTTGAATCCTGATGTTCAGCAATTTATGAATTAATGCATAAAAGAAATAGGTCACCGTTTGTCCCAGTTTATCTAAGTATTATTTAATATACTATTTTATTAATTAATCTATTTATTGTTATATTCAACACGGTTACAAAGCACACCATGTGTTCAGTCCCTGTCATCACTTGATGCAGAAACTCCAGTACTTTCCTGTATACAACAAGAGATTTGCCTACGTGAAAACTTTTGGGTACACAAACATAGGGATTTTGTTGATGGAAATAGCATCTTTGTATACAGCAAAAATTCCATCACTTCTTATTTAACCAAATTTTCCAGAATCTATCCCTCAGTGAAACCACACCTTTAACTCTCTCTATTGTTACAACTATTAGAATCCCTGTAAAAAGACCCTTCAGGTATCTACTATCAGTCAACCTTTTGTATTAGAGTCTAGCGTACCTTACTTCTTACTGAGCTGAACTAAGAGCTCTAAATCCAGACCTCAATGTGATCTTAATTGATTAACACTCTCTTAACTCTCCATGTCAACTTTCAAAAGTGAGCCACAATTTCAGATAACATCTGAGAGTAATTCTGCTCAACATTTAAGGAAGGTAGTGTCACAGACTTGTCACCATCATGGACTGACACACAAGAGAGTGATGTGTTGGCTCCTGGTGTTTGCTTGTTGTTTTCAAGGGAAAGCTGAGGAAACAACTTTTCTGCTAGGCTGGTCATCATGCATGGGTCCTCTTCCAATTTTGGTAGTTGGCATGGTGTTAAATCAGATTGTACCCTTCTAGGTCTGCAAGACAAAAAAGTTAGATCTTAACATTTAATTATGAATTAAACTATGTACAAATAAGATGTTTCAGTCAAATGTACTTTGAGATAAATCTCCTTAATCTACCTACAAAATACTTTTTAAATTAAATTCACACAAAAGCCATTTTATGAAAAATGATCAACACAAAAATTTTTGAGGCAGACAATGTGCCAACAGACCAACCAATACAAGTGACTGAATGGTTAATAAGAAAAATGACTCAGCCACCCAGTTTTGTGAGTTTCTGAAGCTAAATTTTGTAGTGTCCAATAGAGAAAGATGTAGCACGTTATAATAATGTAGCTAAAAAATCATCAGAATGGAGGCAATAGTTTCAACTACAAATTAATGTTGTTTCTCAAAATAAATTCAATTGAAAATGATGTTAAAATACTTTGATGCAAATTTTTCTTTGTTTTAGGACTAGGCTTACCTTAAGGAAACAAAACACAAGGTAACTTAAAAGTCACTTTGACCTGAAACTTATTGCAAACTGCTCACCCTGAGATTGTATATATGTAAATGCACAAAAACTTAGTTTTCTGTTGTTCTTTTTTTGTTGTTGTTGTAGACAGTGCTAAACATTTTCATATATAAACAGTATACATGTGAACATGTAATTAACCATTGCTTATTCATGGTTGAAACAGAGAAGCATGCTAGGGCTGATGCATTCCTTGTAAATTTTTTCCCATAATAAGTTCTTGGACACTAGTTTTAGTTTAAAAAACATTAAAAATAGGTTATGAAAGTTCATGTATCAACATCTATCTAGATTCTTCCTTGTGTGATGAGATTTAACATGCTGTCAATATTGTATAAGATTGTTTTTCAGTTATTCACTCTTATTTTTTCATAGAGTCATTTACTTCGCCTAGTCAGCATTATGTCTTCATCATGATTATGGATATCCAGAAAGGTCAGTTTCATAATTTAAATGGAATACTGCAAAAACTTGATCAGTTGTAACATATGTTAATTTTGAGTGTGAACATCTTTGTTAATGATATTGATCTAATATCAAATATTTCTATTTTGATTATTGTAGAGGATTGTCTCAATTAATCATCGAGTGCTTGCTTCTTGTCCTTTTCATGCCATTTTAGGGCAAGGAGTGCCGGAAAAATTTGCTTATGTTGTCAATATCTTCTCATGAATAAACTTTTTCCTTTGTGCAATATCAATCCAACAATGAACTCATTCTTATACACACAGGCCTAACAAACACAGCCTCCAAATTGGAAGTGGAATAAATTACCTTAAGTTTACAAGTAGCTCACAACAGGATTAAGCCAATGTTATGATTTTTACCAATGGACAAAAGTAGCTAAGATACTGTGTTTGCATGGAACAAAATGATCTAGATCTGTTTTGAAATTTACAAATTATTGAGCACACAAAAGCTTGGTTAGTCACACATGATTGATGATATGGTGAGCAACTGCATGACTTGACAATATAAAAGAGGCTGAGTATTGGATAGCAAGGTCACTTGCAAAGTTTCAAGTATTACCAACAGTATATATATATATATATGTATATATATATATATATATATATATATATATTATGAGAGGAAAAAAAGGGACCAGAGTGAAGCGATTCACGAAACAGGCTTGTCGGGAATGTAGTTACGTATATATATATATATTCTGCTCTGCTTCAACGTATTGAGCACTGTTCCAAAAATCGACTTGCAGACTTCCTATATATATATATATATATATATATATATATATATATATATATGTATAATGGTTAGGAACCTAAAAGACAAGAGGCTCAAAAAGGCCTCAGAATTTGTTACATCTGTATGTGAAATGTGTTCATGAGTTGGAGAGGTACTTAATATTTTTTGCTACAAGATGTATATTTGCCTGTAAACAAAATTTGCCTATACAGTGTACGTGGCTATAATTATAGGATGTATCTAAACAACGATGCAAAATGTAAAGCAACAAAATAGATTTATACTGTTTTTTTAAATAAGGATTTCACCTCAAATTCCTAACAACACAAATTCTTTGGCTAAATTTGTCAAATTTTAAACTGGCATTTCATATTCAGGCTAAAACTAATTGAGGTACTTAATCTGCAACCAATATGTATCACAAAAGAAAACAAAGCAGGGGTTTGTGGTGAACTGAAGTTGCTGAATCACTTTTCCCCATGCAACATCAACACCCCACAGGGTGATAAACAGCTTCATTAATATTGCATATTCTTCAAACTTTAATTTTGATAATTTATGAAAAAAGGGATAGAGAGAATTTGCAAACTAAGATCACATTGGTTTTAGAGTTACCCACAAAGGAACAAATTTTCCTGTTGAATGTCAATAGTCATGTAGCAGAAGTCTTAAATTGTAGTTCAGGACCCAAAAGATTTTGTGATGGTTGCATTTACTGAAAACAAAACAAACAGTAGAAAGGTACTTCCAGATACTAGTTGTGTGTTCTCTTATAAGCCAGGTATTTGATTACTTGTCTTGATCAGTTGCAAGACTTGCTTGAGATAAGTGTATCTAAAAGATAGTTTGTAAAACAACATTACAGGCATGCAAAGGTCACATAAACTTAAAAGGCATGCAGACCAACAGGTTATGTTATAATGATGATCAACACTCACCTTCCTCTTCTGATCACAAATTTCTTAGTCTTATCCTCCTCTACTGTCTCAAATAATTTTAACAGCTGCTCTTGTGGAGAAGTTATTACAAGTTTTGGTTCCTTTGGGGGTCGTGGCAAATACTTCTCCTCTGGAGGAGTCACTGGTCTTACTTTACTAACATCATAACTTGTATTGTTGGCATTATGAAATAGTGGTGGTAATGATGATAGTGTTCCTTCTGTGCTTAGTGAGCTGTTCTGGATGTTCTTTGGTTCCTGCCAGAATGACTGAGGTAATGCTCTCATTCTCATTGGCAGAGGACCTGTCATATGCAAAAGCAAACCCTGAGTTAACCTGTACACACAGATTTTGGCCAACAGTTTATCTTATAAGGTAATTTTGTTTCAACAACTGAGTTGATGATGTAAATTGTCCACCATAGAGGGTTTCTAAAGCTGACATTTTGAGTGTCTGTGCTCTTATGAAGGGCTGATGCTCAAAACACCAGCCCTAGAAACTCTCTACAGAGGCCAATTTACATTATCAACTCAGTTGATAAACCAAATCACCTTGTTGTACCCCCACTGACACTCCACTGACTTATCCCCTTTTATTCATTGGCAGTTTACCTAGTCACAAGTAATTAAAGAATAGTTGTCAATTTGCAAATAAGTGTTTATGATTGATGATATGCTCATTTAGTAGTACTATATCAAAATAAATTAAAAGTATACCCCTTCTAAATTCTTGTATTGAAGCCAGACATGTATCAACCATGGTAACTTCTCTGAATTATGACATAGCGGCTCCTTAAAGTACTTATACTTAGTTTGATAGTGAAGAACTGGCAGTGTTCCTCTTTTAAAGTATATTTCAATTTAAAATAAAACATCAGCCATACTTTTAATAAGAGCTCAGCAGTCTAATAATTTTAACATATCTAAATGAAACAAAACCTATCTAATCTACACTTTTCATGTCACCTGAAAAACAGAGACAAAGTAAGACATGTCAAGCTCATCACCAGATGTTATATTTTTGCAGCTTGGCAGTAGACATTTAATATCACCATGTACACCCATACAACTAACATTACAACATATCCAGCCAGACTGTCTGGCTAACCTCATGACTCCTTTTAACCAAAGCTTTTGTTACCTAAAAACCTGTTATTGATGTAAGGCATGTTACTCTTCCCACACTTTGTCAATTATTAGTTGATCTGAAAACTTGTTTTCCACTTGCCATGTTGTTTGAATTGAAACCTTAATGTATGGCTAATACTATTCAATTATTACGCTATAAAGTGAACTGAAAAACATTTTGTCCCTAATTAAACTGAAGCAATTGGCTTTAGATGTAGATCATGATTATCTTTAGATAAGGTCCCTTGGTTAACCCCTTAATATATTTAATATTTAATCTTAACTTAGATCATCTTTTAAAATTTACAACTGTGATAAGCGGCACTTTTTTTCAAGCAAATATCTAGGAAAAAGCACTTGAATGAAATGTAGTTGGTTTTTTCAGGAGACGTGATTTCCATCTAAGTTAATATCATCATAACATGAGCTCTTTGAGGAGCGTTTTATTGTTGCTGGATCTGTTTCTCGTGGTAACCAATTATTTCATTACTTAGGCAGCTCTTAGGTCGGATTGAGAACAGTTAAGAGATTGTGGTTAACTGATACTAAAGTTGGATTTTATATCATTAGAACAATAGCATTCCAAGTTTGGCAAAATCTTAAAGAACAACAAAATAAGAAGCTGCAAGCATTTGGATTAATTCCATAATTTGTCATTAATGTCACTAGATCTAAAAATATTGCACTAAATTTGAAGTTTTGTTGCTCATTTTTGTGAGATTGGAAGAGAAAAATTGAAAAGATTGAAAAGGTCTACCTTTGAAAATTGTTGGTTACAGTATTGTGTGATAAAGTAGCATGTTGATTTTACAGCAGGAAAATGTTGATCGATGCGTATTAAATGCACAAGCTTTATTTTTGGAACCGTTGATCAGTTATTTAAAAAGACGTACATGTCTGGTTTGCTCTGCAGTATTCACTAGAGGTGTTGTTTATTGTCCAACCATGCACCACTGCACGCGCGCCAGTTTGTGTGAGACACTATTGAACTCCGATAAAAGTGACCTTTTGCAGTCTTCCACAAATCGCATTATCATACTTAAAAACCTTGGTCAGTCGGCACCGGAAAAGTGAAAGAAAATAAGTTATATTTTAGCAGAAAATGTTTTTCGCTGTACATTTTGAATACAAAGTTATTTGCATTAAAGTCTGACCTTGAAGGGGGTAAATTTTTCGAAAAAGGAAAAAAAACTGACTTGAAAGCGGAACGGCACGATTTTCTCTCTACTATATCTTTGTAGTGGAGACATTATAGATAAAAAATAAGAATACCTTCATTAGTTTGTCAGATACTAAGTGAAAACTTGCTGCCCTTTGGCAATATTACGCACTAACATTTACATACCACACTCATGTCGCTAATTTTTGATTAGATGCGCATTTCTTTCAAGTTCGATATTACATCTTAAATGGAGCTGTTCGGTTAGACCTGTTCTAAAGATGATATCTTATACAGTTGTGTTATTACATCTACCCGAGTTCATTTATCCAAAACGTTAAGTGGTTGTGGACACTTAGTGATGATGCCGACTCTATACACTTGTTGCATTATATATTAATGCCCGGTGAGCAATCTTAGTGAGCCGCTTGCCTTTTGAGTCACTTCAGTATGATTCATTTAGGAAAATGCACAAAACAACATTTTCGCAGTCTGTTTTACTCCTGGTTAGACTTTGTCTCACAGAAGGTGATTTGTTGTTATCATGATGTTTGCGATTTGCATGACAAAATGATTGCCGTTGTTTGGTCACGAGATATTTTATTTTTAATGGCTTTTTGACATGGTTAAAACTGATTTTGCATGTTCAATGGCGAATTATCGAAAAGAAAGAGCAATCGATGTGCACATGTATTGGTTTTAGTATAGACGGTCCTCGAAAGAACTTTTCAATAGCATGAAGGGATTATTTTCTTGTAGTAACTCAAAACATGACCCTTTGATTTTGTGTGTCTGAGGATTTTGGAATCACTGGAGCTTGAAGAGCGGTTCGTTCTAAGAAACACGAAGGACAGAAGCCGCGAATCACTTAGCTTGACATAACCATGCCGCAAAAGAGATATTTGTTTTTGTTCAAGAGTCGCTTGCCCGGTAGATTAGTGTATCTGTAGCAAACTCATAGAAATTTTTGTAAACGTCAATTGAGCCTGGACCTCGACCCTCTGTGCAAGTGAAATGTTTATATAAAACAAAGAGCCGCAAATAAATACGGCGACAATATATAAAGCGATTTTCAAGAAAAATATGTTTGTTAGGTAAACGATGAACGAAACAGAAGAGGGATTTTGATGCATACTTGTGTTTGAAAAGCAAGGCTAATAGTGAGACCGGTGCAAAGGTACAAATAGACTCGTTCTTGTGTAAGGGAAGTTCTTATTCCCTCATTAAAAACAATTCCCATAGCGGCAGCACGCAATGAATCAAGTCACGTATGCCCGGGCTGCTTTGATTGATAATCTTGACACAAGCCAACATCCTATATCGTACATGTAGTCTCAATACAGATTCACTACCGAACAAGCTTAAGCTCACTTCAAAATAAATGAGACGAGATGAAATCACCACGCCGAAGGGCGCTCTGTTGCTGCGATGGTACAGTGAGCATGATCAAATTGGTTTAAAGCCCTGTTGGAGTAAATTTATCACACCCCAACCACAAAATATCAGCCGTCACACTATTATGGGAAATCTGAATGGTTATTTAAATGAACTCGCGGTCGAAACACCACAATGGAGTTAAGATGGATCGTATTGGGCTTCTGTAAAGCGAACGCAATCGATCGGAGGCATAATTTCAGTAAGAGACGTATCACTTGATAACACAAACTCACCTCGCTTCGGTTTCAGTCGAGCTTCAAGTTTATTAAAGTCTGGAGACGTCTCTCTTCGTTTCAAAGCGAGGTTCCCTGCTTGGGAGAGCAAAAGTCTTTGTTTTCGGCCTCTTTTAGATAACTCCTTAGCCGGAGTTTCGCGGATTGGTAATAGTGCGGGAGCGCCAACCCTGTTTAGCGAAAGACTCTTGCCTCTTACTACCAGTGGTGGAGGCGATTGAGGCGAGGAAGGTCCGCATGGACTTGGCGGAGAAATACTTGGAGGAGTCCTCCAGTTCAAGGTGTCCTTGTGCTGAAGTCTTTTTCGTTGAGGATCCATGCTACAAGGAACTGCCAAGTCACTTTAGTACAATAATTACTCTTGCTTGTCCCTTCCGGTTAGAATACTGCAGTCAAATAAGTGGCGGTGTTAGGTTTCGGGTTCAGTTTAACACAGATTATCTTGCCCCGTTGCAAAATACCTCTCGTTTGAAAATCCTAGTTGATGACAGTTTATTCCCATTTCAAGCTAATGCTGGAAAACTCTACTACGCGTCAAGAGTGATTCCCGCTCGAATCGAACAAGTGATCGCTCAGTGATGGTAACCATGTGTTTTCGCGCGTTACTAATAAACTGTGGGATTGTGAGCGTTATGTGATTGGTGTATATTTACGTCACCAGCTCCTCCTTCTATTGGTTCAGTTCACGCGTTGCGGGCTTTTGTTTCAATTGTTGTCTATTGTTGTTAGGGATTCGGCTGGAAATTTCCGACACATTCCGCAAAGAATTTGCATACTGTTCAGTTTAGTTCATTTCTAAGAATGGAACATTCGTCAGCCTTTCTTCTGTTAATTATGACACTGAAAAAAACAACAGCGTGGGATTTCTGCATGCAGAACAGATCAAAACAAATTCTCAGAGAAAACTAAGAGAGTTAAGTAATCACTATGTTAAGTACCTCAATATTCGACTCGTCTACGAAGTGAAATACATACATGTAAATCCGTTGAACGCCGTTCCTTATGTCAGTGTTTTGTGTTAAATAAAAAAAAAACTGAGAAACACTGAAGACCGTGATTTCCGAAGTAATATTTTACAACAATGACCCCGAAATGATACAAACTTTCTTGCTGAGTGTTCTCGAAAATGTGGATGATTTTCTTACTTATCGGAATATCGCAGTCAAAACATACTCGAAGATACCAATTACGGTAAAACTGAACGGATCGTTACCGCGCCCGTTCTTGGCTGCCTAGAGACCCCGAAAAACAAATTCAGACGTGTGCGCGGGATCCGGAACTCAAGGCAATATTTATCACAAGCGTGAGGCTATATAAGTTCCAGGTCAGCCTAACGTTGTCATCCTTAACGGGACACGTATTCATAAAAGGCAAAACCTATTTGTATGTAAGTATTCCGGCTATGCGTGGAAGTTAACTAAATTGAAAAATAGTCCGCTAACAATATTTTCGTGGGAAGGTCCAGTTGTTTTTAAAGTGAATATTTTTAGGTGCATTCGCGTGACATTGGGACATAACAGTGAAATGGAAAGTGATAACCTTATCCAAGTGAGCCTCCTAACCTACAGTGAAAGCAAATGGCCTAAAATAGCCTTGGGAGACATAGTGTTCATGCCTAAACTGATTTGTTTAGTTGACTTTTTTCGGGGGAGGTGGCGTAGTTCCTGTCTAATACTGCAGATTATGTTCGTTTTTTCGGCCATTTTATCTCCATATTCTTCCATGTTTTAATTTTTTGCTGAAGTTTCGTACTTTGCTGTGAACAATGTTACTTACACAGAGGAAGGAAATGGGGAGAAATCCTTACAACCCTTTGAAAAGTCCTAGTACAGTTTTCTTTGGAAAGATCTGCCGTTATTTAGTTAACTTTACAAGTGCAACGATTGTCTTGCTGCTTTGAAAGTTTGTAGATATATATCAGTCTTCACAGTTTATACGGCAAGAGTTTAGTTTCTTCTTGTTTATTTTTTTTTTGTAATTTTTTGCAAGCCCTTAAGCTTCAACCTGTGTGAGCTCCTTTCTCCCCCCCCCCCCCCCGAACAGAATTCCAAGGCAGGGTGGAAAGAAACGGAATCATTGACGCAACGTCTGTTACGTCAGGATCCCGTCTGTTACGTCAGGATCCCGTCTGATTGAAATAATCAGGAATCACGTTAATCAATGAGAAGCAGACACCAAAACAAGTAAATGCGATAAGTTGTTGTAAACAGCCATACGTCAGGGAGGGAGATAGCGCGTGCTCCTGACGATGACTGCTATTACTTTACTTGAGATCAGCCTGATGATTGATCGTTTCTTTTTGTCCGCACTGTGTTATTTTTCCTAATGGCCGACCTCCAAAGTTTTAGAGCGTACAAAATAATTTTAAAGGAGCTTCGTTGGTTAAGATAATCCTGGGTAATTATTCAGTGGATACAAAAATCTTTTTTTTTTTATTTTTATTTTTTTTTTTTTCTTACTGACACTGGTCTCTGAATGTACATTCAGCTTTATTGGTCAGAAACCTTCATGTAGTCTAATGTACCTTTATAAGAACTAACAAGATTTTCATACACCTGTAACAGGCTTAATCCGACACTCTTTTAGAATACCTCATCGAAACATTCCGATGGTCGCAATCTAATATCGCCGTAGACAAAACATTGGAAAGAACATGTTTCCTTCCGACCCTCACGAAATTTAATCCTTATCTTTGTTTCTTTTGCTCAGAATTATGTAATTCAACACGGAAAAACCGCGAAACTATTGTTTCGTGTTGCTATTGTGTAATTTTTTGGTTTATATCGTTTCACTCTTGTCTTATGGCGCCTGCTCTTCCGTTTTAGGAGACAAATGACGCACTTTTTTGGTGGAAATGAACATCTGCTGTCACCATGTTTTCTCGTTTTATTTCCTTGCAAAGAACTGCTTGTTTGGGTTGTAGTCGTAATGTAAATATTGTTAAGACAAGTTCTAGCGACTTTTTGCGGCAAGGTTTATCAAAGTTAAGCTATCGATGGCACGCGACACCGTGAAGTCGATGGTTTTCTTTCGCTAATTTTTGATCTTGTTTTTTAATATTGCTAAACTGTGAAGCTATTATATTGTTAGAACTCAATCAAAGAGTTGGAAGGAATTCTAAATATGAGATTCCTTTGTTAAAGAAAAAGTCGACACAGGCTGGTCTGATAACAGGTGTAACAGATGTTACTTGTTTAACACATAACTCAACCTTTTCATACTTTATCAATTGTTCCTATTGGAAAAAAATTTTTTTATAATTATTAAGCCCACTGAAGGTATTCATCAGTTTGCTCTTTGTTTGTTTTCTCTATATTTTTACTGGTGATCGTCTATTTTTATCTGACGTTATGTATCGTGGTTGTGCCTTGTTGTTTTAGGCATCAAATGGTTAAAAGGAGACATCTTTAGCCATCGAAAACCCAGGATACGGAACTTTATTACCTGGCTTCGATTAAGGCCGATTTCCCAAGGTTTAAAAGCTTTTCACCAGCATGCGTGTAGACGGCCTAATAATCTTATCCTAGTATGCACGCATATTCTTTGTGTTTACCTTGCATAGTGATACTTTTTATTTATTACGAGTGCGTTTTTCTGAGCACTTAAGGTCAAGTTGTCTATTCGTTCGTGTTTCATTTGTGCGAGTCATCTTCTTGATATTTAACAATCTTTATTAGTTTGCAAATCATCAAGGCATGTTTGTAATTTTTGAGTATGTGAAATAACGTTCACCAAGTTTCCCAAATTGCTGAAATTACTATAGATCGTTCATCAAACCTGATGTCAAAGAGTTCTCCGATAATATAGGAAAGGAATTCATAATTTTAACACTGCTTACCACTACCTTCAATGAGGAAAAAACTCTGACATTATTCATCCTTTAGAATATATTTGACACCTAATTTAAGCTGCAAAAATGTGTAATAACGGGTTTTGTTCTAAGTCGTTTCGTCACAAGATTTTTCCTCACAAATATTTCTGGACTGAAAGGTATCCGTTGTCTGTGAAATGCTATACTCTGGCTGGAGCGTGCCAAGATAAGAAGTGCTTATTAAGCCCATAGATGAATGACAGATTACTAAATTCCAAGGGTTTATAGTCGGCCTTGCTGGAGGTCGTAGAACGGGCCTAAGGCGGTCAAGTTTAACATTGCTTGCCAAAATCGTGAAACAAGATCAGCAGAGAATACTAGTATGAAAGAGAGCTATGCCTAACTCTCGCCAAGAAACGTATCTGTTAGCCTTACTTTGCCTCTATGAGCTGGTTAGCTGAAATAGGTATTATTTTTCTAACAAAGGATAGAATACACGGCAAACTTTAAAGCATAACTTTGTGGGATTAAAATTTCTTTTTATTTGTTCTCCAAGGTGTGTAATTGCTACTGACAGTTATAGTATAACAAGCATTATAGGATAAGAAACCATATATGGTCTTTAACAACTCATTCATCTCGGTCGTAAAGCTTCTAATAGACACATGCATGACGTATCAGTCTTGTTCGCTTGTCGTTTCCTAGTGTAAATTTACGAGCTTTTAAAATCCAAATGACACTTGAAATTGTTCTTAGGTCGAGTTGCTGCGGGTCATCGGATTTTCTACTCTTCGTAAAACTCTATTAAAGTAGTGTTAACTGTTGAATGAGCAAGTCCCTCTTACATCGAAGGATATGGAAAACGTTTCACTTTATAATTTTTTGTTTTCGTCTTCAACGGTTATAGTTTATTTGATAGGAACTTTTTTTTATTTGATAAGAACTTTTTTTTATCAGATCCACTTGTCAAAAAAATCCCTTTCCCACCATGAAGCCCCAAAGAGTTGGTGGAAGATGGAGGTCGTCCAACGAGGGCATTAATTGGACAGATATGTGCCTTTATCTGGATGGTTTGTGCTGACTCTGTCTTCATGCATGTACCTTTGTGCATGTACCTATCTTTCAAAAACTCAAGAGAGCGGCATATTTGATAACAGTCTATAGACCTTCGTTTGGCGTCATCTCAACATAACTTGCTTTATTTCCCTTTCTCTTACTGATCGTCATCTTGATTTCACCCTATTAAAATGTCGAGATTGTATTTCTGTCTGCGTGTTAAAATCGAGTAATTGTGACGCCACAGCTTTGCATAAACATCCCTAGCTTAATTTTTAACAAAACAGTTAATGGGAGTTGGCGGTGGTATCTTATTTGTTTTTCTCTAGAGGTCAAGGGCGACCGCCTTTCGCTTTCGTGCCTGAAAAAAAGAACCGATCGGCGGTTCACTTTGTTTGTCGGCGAGTAACGAGCCCGCGGTCTCTGAAACCAAATTTTCCATCTCGTAATCTTTTTGGCATGGAGGTAAGAAATCACAACTACTCTCCGAATGCGAAACAATAGTATGAAATAAACCTGATTACGTCTAGGCCAATTCTCTTGAATTTCCGGTAGTCTCTTGGATGTAGAATAGATCTTGTGGTCTCCCGTGCAGTGCCCTAAAACTCTCGTTGAAAAGTGAGTTGCAAATGTTTTTTGTGAGAGAGGCGAAATCAGGTAAGGTTACTACTAAAAATAAGAAAAAAATTGTCTGGAAGGGGGAGTTCTTGTTCAGATGTAGCTCTATTCTATGGAAATTAAATTTTATTGTGGATTTGGCGACAGTTCTTTTGGAGAGACCGCCGAGGGCGGAACGGCTTAAAACCACATTTGTATTCGGAAGGGGTGGATATGGAGGTGGGAATATGATCTAAAATTATGCATCTCCAGACTTCAAGGTTCTAGAAGTTAGCATCTCTGCGATCAAGACTGGTTCGTAAACAAATGAATGGACAGAAGCTCCCTATATTTGCGACTGGTCGATGAAACGATTTTAGGGTAGAGGACCACCTTACGAAAAAAATTACTTAGCTGTTTAGCTTTTCTGTTGCCGCTTCTTTCTAAATTTATCGTATTACTTTGCAACTTTTACCAGTTTGTAATGCCCCGGACCACTTACTCTATTGGGTGAAACATTAGCTGCTAAGTTTTTCCATGATACAGCCATGGTCGAATACTAGCTGTAGTACGCCCAGTTTGGTTTTACTCACAAATAACACATATTTATGTTACAGTCGATCCTGTATAAATCGGTTACCCACGGGGAATACATGAGATAATTTTCTGAAGGAATTGTGCTGCTGCTTCGTTTATTCGCTTTGACAAAGGTCCAACGCTCGAAATGTTAGCTTTCAAACTCTTTACGGTGGTACCTCGGTTGATAATACAAAATTACCCTTTTATACCCACGGGGAATAGCGAGATGACCGGGTCGGACCGGTGATACAGGGTGACCGCTTAAAACAGGTTCCACAGATTAAAAGTGTTATAAAAAACGATACATAGCGCCATCATATGCTATAATTGATCACCTAGTGTACAGAAACAAAAATTATTGAAAGGTTATTCGGCTTAAGTGACCGTTCAACACAAGTGAAAGACAAAACAAACAGGCCGTTGGGAGTTAGAGAAGGGTGACTGCGACCGCTTAATATAGGTGACCACTTAATAGAGATGAAAATTAAAAATTGAAACAAATTCGGGATTTACGCAACCGACCGCTTAAAATAGGGTGATCACTTATTACGGTGCTGCTTAATACAGGTTCGACTGTAGTTTCGTTATCAAGTGTCCTTTCACTTATGCCCAAACTTTCTTTAACCCAGAAGATGGAAATGACGACGAAAAATTCGCTTTTAGACATATAAGCTGGGAGGGAACTAAATCTTAGAAAAGCGCGAGGGAAGGGAAATGAGCAACAGTTGTGAACTGAGAGGGTTTCTTCCCAGATCCTTCATTAATTGTGATGAGGGTAAATGTCACGTGATATCCATCCCATAATTCTGTGCTCTGTTATGTAGGTCGGTGAATTAGTCCTACTGAAACTGACCATCTCGCTGATACTTTACCCATTTTTTACGATTATCAGGTTCCTTAGTACTTTATATAGACAACAGCTGGATAAAAATACAATCTAGAGACGAATTAGGGCCATGGCGACGAATATGTACTTGGAACATTACCTTGATAGTAAGTGCTTTTGATTTCACTTCGCTGTGACGATCCCGCCAGAATTCATACTCATTTGCATTTGGAAAAAAAAAGACAGGCAAAGCTATCGGTGCTTCGCCGATGTAATGATTTGCTTATCCTGGAAAGTTTTATCGTAATTCTGCATAAAATTTTGGAAATATCTATTTTGTCGTGGAATCTGGTGGAAATAAGGATAAGCTTGTATGTGAAATAGATTTCAGACTAGCGTACAACTTTACACCCACAAAAAGTGAAGATCGGATGTGGGTTTTGGTTAATTTAATAGTCAAGCTTAACTCCTATAAGTTAATGAGTCCTTTATGATGTCAATCCCATTTCCTGTAAAGTTTGATTTTTCCCTACGTTAAATAACTGTACGAGTGCGCAAATCATCAATTTTCCATAACACATTCGAATGAAAACATCTAAGAATGGAAAGGGTTTCCCCTGCAAGTGCTTTCCATGACACATGTTAATTAACAGACGGCACTGCTCTGCTTCTTAGGTATTGAAAACCTGCCATTTGAACTACAGAGGAACTTCACACTTATGAGAGAACTTGATCAAAGGACACAAGGTAACTTAGGCGCACTTATACCCCACTGGCTGAAAATCCTCTTCACGAACCAATCCGCTTAAGTGACTAGCGTAAACCACGCAAGTCAAACATTACGAAACAGTTATTTCTTTGGTCGCTTTTTGTTATTTATCCGAAAATATCAGTTTTCCAATGGTTTGTATTTTGGCAACAAACGTGACACACATTTGCCAGTTCACCAAAGCACGTGGGGTGGTTTCAACCTTGACTTACATTGCTTGGAAAGCAGAAGGTACCCACAATTCAGGGGATTGTCATGAAAAAAACCTTTAATGTCAGGAAAAAGTCAGGAAATTTTAATTTGACTCTGGGAAAATTGATTGAAAGGAATAAAAAGTTAGGAAAATTTGAAGAATTTGACCATAGGAAGGAAGAAGCTTTTACTGTCACATTAATGGCAAAGATTCTTTCCCTGATAATTGAGAAGTTGAGCACTTTTTGATACTAACCATCTTTACTTCTTGGTTGAGGTCGAGGCCATACTTCAAAAGCATTATATCATTTATTTAAATTTTTTGAGAGGAAGGACGGCTGACTGGGATGGACGCAGCCATTATATGTTTTTTATCTTGTTGGTCTTGTCTGGCTGTAGCAACCATGAGACTGTGTCATGTCATGGTACTATCAGGCCGCTTGTTTGAAAATCCCTCAAAGATCTTTATAGGATATCCTTGTTGTAAATCCTGTTAAGGTCTTACCAAACTTATCTCCTCTTGGAAATCTTTGTGCTGCTAATAAGATCTTACAAGGATATTTCTAAGTTCATAATGAATATTTTTATTACACTACAATCTAAATATCAAGAAATGATGCTTGTGTGAGTGGTAATTAAAACCTCATTAAGGTCTTTGCATGCAAATTTTGGCCAGTAGATCTGCTTGGCTAGATAACTGTGAGGTAATTTGATAATAGGATCTTCAGCACATTCAGTTCACATCTCTCTTTGCCAAACATAATTTATCCAGTAGAATTGCATTTTATAAATTTTTCTGTTAGTCATCTATGACATACAAACCTCCAACTCTCAGTTGAATTGCTCTCAGGTTATTGCAAGAATATGGTATTTATTTGATGAAACACTTGGCATTTATTAAATTTTTTGTGCTTTGAGGGCAAGGTTTATATGAGGCGGCATCAATTCAAAATCCAATTTATTATTTGCAAACAAAAGAATGGTAACTGGCCATTTTAATTTCAAAACATAGAAACATGTTTTAGTGCTTGTCGTAAAAGTCATGTTTTATATTGTTCTCAGTTTCACAATTTGCATGTTAATACTAGTTGCAATACATAAAGTAAGTAAGGATCTGATGTCAGATATACTTCTCAACTTTTAAAATAGTACATTCAAAATTATTTGTGTCTGGTTTGCTCTAAATTTCCAATTGCAATCAAAGCCATGATTGTTGTGAGCTTTTTGAGTCTTATTTAAAGAAATGCTGCATCATGATGCAGCGTATATTTTCAATGGAAGAGTTTATAAATATTTCTGCACTAAAATGAGGTGTTTATCAAACTATGGTGATTTATATAAATGAAAATAACAAGAGTTATTTTGATAAATGAGGTGGCTGTTACAAAAACATTCAAATCTGAATCTGACAAGAAAACTTTTTTTATCTCATAAATGCCCAGCTTTGCAATCTTCCCAATTCCACATTTTAAGGAGGAAAATCAAAGTTTCTATAAACTGTTGGGGTCTTAAAAGTAAATAGTTTTTTACAATGTCTTAAGGCAAGAAAAAAAAACAGTTAAGGGAGATTTTACCTCGGAGAGAAAAGTAGGAAAATAAGAAATTGACAACACCAAGATAGCATCAGGTACTAGGGGGATGTTAGCTTGTTCAACTTTTAATAATATGTTGCTGAATTGTTCATAATACAGTGCATTTTTTACTTACATTAAAACAGTTATCTATTTTACTTGATTTTTGTTAGTGTTGGATCCTTGTTGCAGCTAGTAAAATATTCACCATCTCTCTTCCCTCTAGTAAATGGTTACTTAAAGTGAATTACTCTCAAACTAAACATTGCATCCTTCTGTTATTTCATGTAAGACCTTTCAAAGGAGATTAACAGTATGTCAGAAGAATACATGGCAAATGTGCGTGGCATGGATGCTGCAAAAAGGACATTACATTTGAAGAAAATTGAAAATGCTTTTGTCAAGAGTCGGGAATATGGGGATGATAAAGTTCAGCTTGCTATGCAAACATATGAAATGGTAAGTGAATTAATCTAACTTTTTTATGAAAACTTGATCAAATGTCCTTTGAGGCTAAAATAATGCATTGTGTTATTTTGTAAAAAGTATTATTTGATGAGGTATAATTACCCTAACCCAGATGTTGTAAGTAATCTTTTTTGGGAGTATGAGGTACAATTTTGGTTTCATGAAAAAGTTTGTCATTCAGAAAATGAAGAGCTGTCACATTTGGGATTTTGCTGCTTATTATTCAATCCTGTCCCCCTTCCCCACCCCTGTAGAAAATGGTGCTGTGAAAGAGGGCATTCACAATTTAAACCAACACCGAACACTTAACCTAATATAATTCTTAACCCTTTAAGTCCCACCAGTGACCTAGACAGAATTTCTCCTTACACTATCACTACGATATCAAGGAGACGAGTAATGAGAATAAAGAAAAATATCAATTAGGGGATTGTTGGTTGATCCAATTGCAAATTCTGCAAACTAACATTACATGAATTGTGTGGCAGATAGAAAAGAGAATTACCAGTGAAATCTTGGGAGTTAAAGGGTTAAACTTCCTATTATTTGAATTTATAATTCTACTAATGAAATCTTTTTTTTTAATAAAAGGTTGATAAACACATTCGTAAACTGGATGCTGACTTGGCAAGGTTTGAATCAGATCTCAAGGAGCAACATGCCAAGGAAGCGGGCTACTCAGATTATGAAAGTGAGTTTAGTTCTTTAGACCGTGATATACAACTTGGTAAAAGTTACCTAACTTTGTTTGGTCGGGTGAAAACTGGAGAGAAGCTCTTAGCAGTTGAAAACTATTTATTTAGAATGCTGTTGATTAGTCCAGTTGAAATTACTATCTAACCCACATTATTCAGAAAGTCTCTTACCCACAATGCAGCTCAAAAGTAAGTTGACAAAGCTGCTTCTCTTTGACAAAGAGGCGGCTGGCACATAAGTGACCCTATAAAGGATCTCCAGGATTAAGTTGATCACACATACACACAACATGTTCTAACACATTCAAATACAACTAGCACAACACCAAGACTTGCAGAGATAGTTTTTTATTTAAAGTATGGTTTCTTTTCATTACACAAGCTGGGTTTGTGATTGCTCATCACACTTTCCCCATCGTAAAGTTCTCAACAATCTACATTCCTCCATCATTAATGCACAGCATCAAAATCAAGAACATTCCCTCCATGTGGGCAAAGATAACCTCAATTCAGTTTCTGTAGAATATTTTACTGTTACATCTTCCAATGAGCTCAACAATGAAGAAAGTGATATTTTTAGCAGGGAAGACAACAATGACCAAAGCAATCAGGAAACTGACTCTGATATTGAAATTAACCATTCTGGATTTGACAATAGGCCATTTTACAGTTGTGTACTTGGCTGCCAAGCCTTTAATTTAGAGTGAGGCTGAAGGTGACTGTGTTGTGATAGAGACCAGTATCTGGTTAGCGTGATAACAAGCAATTTACATTGAAAAGCAGCAAGGTTTTTATCATAACATGTTCATCCTTAGCCTCACTGCTGTTCAGAGGCTTGGCAACCAAGCATGAAACTGTAAAATGTGCTATTCAGAGCAATCAAAAGTGGAGGCCCTTAAGGTTGAGACATGTGGATGTTCTCAAGGGGAAAACAAGAGTCCTTGCAGTTCCTCCATAGAAATTGGCAATATCATTGAGTATTGAAAGAACTGCATTGAACTTGCCCCTACATTGTTTTCATTTAGGAGCCATTTACAGCTCTATCAACTGCAATTATATGAGCTATTTGAGAAGAGAAAGAAAAAAAGGGGCCATGAGCCTAAATACCTTTCTATTTTCTTGGCAACTGAACTTGTCAGAAAACATGTTTGTCTAGGTATCAAATTCTTAGGAGCTAACATCAGCATGCATCAAACAAACAGCAGCAAGTCACCCAAAATTTACTTTCACTCTTACTTTCATATTTTGTAGCCCAATATGTTCTAATAACTGTGGTGAAGTGTTTTTTTGTAAAAATTTATTTTAGTTTTCAAGAAAGAAATTTTTTTCGTTTGACCACTCAAATATGCAAATTTTCATCGTGAATATTACCCGAGTTGTGTGACCTCATGTAAAGAATATACTAGACCTACAGTGTTTCTGTCAACATAATCCTTTGTTTTATCATCTAAACTTAATCCCCTGTCATTATTGAAGCTGGAAAAGAAATATTTATTTTTTGGGGAATATGTTTGCCTGACACACTTTTCCTATGTCAAAAAGTAACATCAAAACAGAGACAGTTTTAACAATGACCAACATGACAGAATCTACTGAGCTTCTAGCCTTTAAAAGACAAAAGGATGGTAATAAAGTTACTGTAAAAATTTCCTTGTGTATTTGTGTTGTTCTATCTTGAGAAGAACTCAAAGTTTGGCAAAATTTACTTGATAGCGACTATGAAATATACATGGTGCACCTACTTGTCGCCACTGTTAACTGGTATAAATCACTCCAATTTGCAAAAAAATCTAACATAACACTCTTACCATATCATATAAAAGGCCCCTAAAAGATTTTTATTCCCAGAGCATCACGCTTTGCTTGCCTGTCTGAATACTATAAATTTCAATAGCATTGAAGCAACAACCCACTTTTAACTGCTTCGCTGCCGCTGAAACAATGATTACAAAAAAAGTACATATTTTAATATTTCAATTCAACATACACAAAAATCTTTATACATGGTAAATAATCACTTGTGTTGGTATCAATTATTATACGACTAGCTTATGACTTAAATGAGGGAGGGGAAAACACAATGCAAAACCTGGGCTCCTGTCAAAAAGTAATACCCAGATGTTATATAATAATCAAAACGGCTAATAAAAATAGTAATAAATAAACAAGATAAGAGTGTTATGTTAGACTTTTTTACAAATTGTAGTGATTTATGCCAGTTAACGGTGGCGACAAGAAGCCGCACCATGTATATTTCATAGTCACTATCAAGTAAATTTTGCCAGACTTTGAGTTTGTCTCAAGATATATAACAGTATATATAAAGTAAGAGTGAAAACAAATTGTGGGTGACTTGCCACAATATTTCAAATTTGTTCAATGGATGCTGGCATCCTCTCTTAAGACATTTTTGTACAGCTTTGTTTAACACAACTGGAAAGTGAATTATCTAATTACATACATTGAACCAGAAAATGTCTTCTAAATTAAACATTGCATAGGGGTTAGGGTTAGAATTGAAGAAGCCATGAAATTCATTTTCAGTGTTGTAGAAGAACAGGCCCTGGATTTGAAAGAATCAATCTAAAATTATTTCTCTTACAAAGTTCTCTTACAAAGAGCAAGATCTGGAAAACTTATCAACATGCATGTGCTGCTACTGGCCATGTAACTATTGGCCATTCTAAATTTGTTGAGTTATGAAATCAACTTTGCTGTTTTTTGTAATGGTGTAACTTGCTTCCAATCTCTGCTGGACTTGCCAAAAGAACAACAATCAAATTGTGAAGTCTGTTGATTTGTTGGAATTCTAGACGGTCGAAATGTTAGTGCAAAAGGATTTACACCTCGGGTTGGTTGCTTATGACAGAGCTTTCTAAAAAAATTGTTGTACAGAAGCAAAAGAAACATTGACTGAACCATTGAAGGCTGTAGACATTTTGGCCTTTCCAGGCAGTTTACAAGCAACTGTTCCTATAACTACAATCAGGAACTTCATTACCCAGCTGATCCTTACCAGCCTAGCATGATTTTTTTCAAACCCTATTGAAGGAGCTTACCACACTTAAGTGCCCTCCTCTACATAAGCTAGGGATGACTCCTGCCCCCCCAATCAGTGTTTGATGAAGAACATCCACACATATAGTTAGATTTTGCATCGACAGATGCAATAACAAGCCTTTTACAAAGCAATGATGGTCCTGAAGACCTTTCTCAGGATACAGTCACAATCACCAGTTGTTAGGAACCATGGAGAAGGTGTGCAACTTTTTTCTCAACTTCCCTCAAGTTGCTGCATCAAGACCACCATCAGTTGCAAACTCTTACTATACACAAACCCTCATGTACTGAAGAAACCATTTTGTTAAAATTGACCCAGCTGTTGTCTAAGTTTGGTGGACCCAATGGCACTGGATTCTCATTTCTCAACTTTCCTCAGACTTGTTTTGTTATAGTAAAGGTCTTACAGCAAAGGTCACATCTGTGATGGAAGCTTGGGTTGGTCCAATCATGCACAAAGTTCTGTCAAATAATTAAGTGAGCTTAAAAGACTGAAGCAATTGGGTTTCAACAGGAATTGCCTCTAAGAGGCATGATATTTATGGAAAAGTGTTCAATTCTTCTCAAAAACAATAGTAAGCTTTCATTGATAGTTGGAGCAGCTGAAGTTAAGAAGCCAACCTAAGTATCTTGTCAAAGAGGGGGCTAACGCAACTAGTGGTATTCAAGGAAATAATGGCAAGATACTTGACAAATAGCTCCTGCCAATCATCCAATCAAAATTTCCAGGTGGCCTACACCTCTAGTAAAACATTGACTCAAAATGCACAAGCCACTTAGCTTCCAACTTCATGGCTTTTTTTTTTTTTTTTTTTTTAACTTCTATCTGGGCTTTTGATGTGAAAATTATACATGATTTTTGGAAAGTGTATTTGTATGTGTCAAACCAGCTGTGAAGAGGAAGAAATCACAACAGTGCTGCTCAAAAGTTAATTGGATCTAATAATTCAATTTCAAAAGCCCTTCCAAACAGATTTTTAATATTTTGCAGGTGAATCACCAACACCAAAGCGCAAAAGCAAGTCAGGTAATATTAAGTTGGTAAATGTTATTCACCTGTTGTTGAAAGTGGTTTAGATGTTGTGTGCAACAATTTTCTCCCATGGTCTCTCTTCTGCAATTTAAACCTGTTATAAGGCTTAGCCTCAAAGTCCATCCATGCTGAGGACTACCAAACCACAGTTTCTGTAACTGATGGTTGTTATGAATAATTATTAAGGTTAGAGTGGCCAATTTAGGTTTATTATCAAGATGTAGATTGGGAAGAAGAAGCAATGAAAAATAACAATGAAGAGCTAGATGCATGTAAATATGTACTTCAAACAAATCCTAGGCTTGAATATTTCTAGCTGAAGACAATCATGCTTTCTGGCAACACCAATAATTTTCTTTATAAATGATTACTTTAGCAAATGCTTTGTAATGCACACTTGGAAGTTTGGTGTCATATCCATCATCTTGAGCTTAGTCCTCAAACTGACATTTAGTTGAAGGAAGATGTAAGACCTATCTACTTGGACTCTAGTGATAACTATTTCTCTGATAAAATATTATGTACAAACTCTCTCTGGAGTATTTTTAGAGGCATACTTACATTAATTTCCTTATTGGGTAAGGTGGAAGGAACAGAGGAGGAGGAAGGAAAAAACAAGATACTTCTGAGTCTGCAAGGAAAAAGAAAAAGTATGTGTTAAAAGGTTATAAATTTTGTTTGAACTAACTTCATCTGAGGATTGTCTGGATTGCATTCCAATGGAAACAAATTTTGTTTTGCTCAAAAATGGAAGATAACTCATTACTTTTGCAAAACCTTGAAATTTAACCTCCAGTATTCAGGTCAGGTCATGAATAAAATACAAAAAAATTGTTTCTTGTTTTTGAACAATGAAAACAGGTAACCTTACATCATTCCAAAAGATCCATGGGAACACTAAGCCAAAAAAAGAAACAACGCAACAATATTTTTTTATATTATTGATGTGGAACCTGATCATATTGTATTTGACACCTGAAAATTTGATAGTGATTTATTCTTTTTTAGAGTTGAATCTGAAGGTCCTAAGTCACTTGCAGTAGCTGTCTCTCTCTTGGCACCTGAGGTTCAAGTGCTTGATATGCCAGTTGACCCTAATGAGCCAACATACTGTCTGTGTCATCAGGTAAGCAGCTTGGAAAAGAACCAGAAGTTATTAAAGTTTGATAAACTGTTTTCACATTTTCTTAGCAGGTTTATGTTGTCTATTGATGAACATGCAGGGAACACTTTTGTCACTAAGTTACATTGTGCTCCTTCTGAGGTCATTATGTTACTAAGATTGCATTCCTTTGGTTTTTGTTACCTAGGTTTCATATGGTGAAATGATAGGCTGTGATAACACAGAGGTAGGCATAACACAGTCAGCCTATTACTATAAATTATTACTATTGTTTTTAATTTGTTTTGGAGTTTTGTAAGGGGAGAAAATGTGTTAGTCCCCTGTAGCAAGACAGTTCCTCTCTTTAGCTTTGCAATAGCTAAAGGCATCATGAAGTTTTCACAAGTCAATGTATCAACAAGGATTTAGTGTGAATGTACAGTTGAGATGAAAAAAAGTAAAGAATTATATTCCACATTTGATTTCTGTTGTATTTTTTGAAAAACATGCCTTATGCAAATTATTGGATCTCAATTCAAAATAAGGGTCTTATTTTTTATAACTGTTCCCCGTCACCCAAATGTTTTCTAGTCTACTTGCATTATGTTAAAGTCCTGTTGTGCTAATTTAGAAGGCCCTACAAAAATCTTGGTTTTTTTAGGTGGCAAGTGGCTGCCTTTACACTTAATCAGCTAGGTTCACACATTAAACTGTAAACTCTTAATTCTCTCCCTCTTTCAATCCACTTCCCCCATTGCTTCCTCATGTTAACTTCGTATTTTCATTTTAGTGCCCAATAGAATGGTTTCACTTCCCGTGTGTAGGACTGACATCAAAGCCAAAAGGAAAATGGTTAGTCTAGACAAGATTGCATTTCTCAAATTTTGAAATTTAAATTAATTGCTATACATTTTAGTGTGTCTTGGGGGCATGTGCCTTGGTCCTACTGCTGCAGGTTGGTAGAGAGATATTAAGCAGCTTGATATGAAGGATATCAATCTCTAGATTAAAAGATAAGTCACACTTCTGAATACTTTCTCAATATGAAAAATGAAGTTTTTCTTTTTACTACAAGTTGATTTATAACGGTAAAGACCGAATACTTTTCAAATAATCTTGTCTTTTGGAAAATGGTTCTTAAATCCAAAGTCATGGAATGTTTAAATTTTTCTCAAACACATGGGCCTCAAAACCTGTATGCAGAACTTAGTGCATTTTACCTCACTGTACATTATTGATCTTATAATTTACAAGTTTTTATCAATAATATATGTAGTTAAGTGACTTTGGATTCTCACATTTGAGTGAGCTCTTGATTAAAGGGACACTCCTGAGCAGAGCCTTATTCATACCTTTCGTACAGGTATTGTCCAAAATGTGCACAAGAGAGAAAGAAGAAGTAACTATGGCATCAGTGACTATGGCATCAAAAGGGCTTATAACCGCTAACAACATTGTTTGGGAACAAAGCAAGACAAGTATGCCTGTTATGGTCCAAATCTCCCGGCACACAGTGAACGTTCGTCGTCAGTTGCGCATGTGTGGTCAAACCCCTTAATAAGAGAATATTGTAGCAAAGTGCCTTTGTATTTATGTTATTACTGCACCTGTCAATGACATGCGACCTCTGGCTCTCTGAGCTATTCTTACGATGTCCTTTCATTTAGCTTTCAATCATTATCGCAACTGCTATCGAAGTACAGAGGCAAACAAAATGGATCGAAATCCACCGCTTACAACTTAGAAATGCATTTTTTATGACACAAATACAATTCCACAGACCGAAAAAACGCAGTAAATTCAGGAGTGGGTTATGTTGAATGATTGTACCACCTCATGTAAATATTATTTGTAGATATAAATATAAAGTTTACATAATGTTACGAAGAGGTGGTCAAATCCCCATTTTTTTCCTCTTTTTTTTCTCTCTTTGTTTTTTGCTTTGTTTTTGTTTCTCTATGTATCTGTTTTTGATAGCAGAGAACTTTTCAAATCTTTGTACATTCTAGAGTACAAAGTAGTGTAGGGTTTCAAAGTGCTTGTATAAAGAGGCCACATTTTCGACGAAATGACCGAAACATGATACTGAAATGTTCGAGGAGTTTTTGACGGTTTTTTTGTCGATGAGATCGCGACAACTTATGACTTACTAAAGCTATTTGCACTTGTTGAAATTTTCTGAAAATATTTAAGGAGGAAAACCTCGGTCCGGCATCTTTTAAGGGTTTCACGTAATATTCTCGTGCGGAACAGTCTGTTCCTCGCAAGATTTGTAAAGCTTGATCTGAATTAATTGTAAAATGAAGTACGGATTATAGGATTGAATCATAATTTACTATTAGTTGAGATATGTTGGTGGTACATTCGTGCTAAGACATGAAAAATTTGAGATGAACGCCAAGTTTCTATAAAGCCCGCTCTTCCACGTTTCTCCCCGTAACAAAATTCTGAAGTAACAGTTCATTGTAGTGATTTTTTATACATCTGGAATAGGAAGCATTTTATGACGAAGTATACTTGAGTTTGAAAGTTTGTTATTAGTTTCTTTAAAGACATGAGTTTTCAACTAAAGAATATTGCATATTGGATATGGTATTCATCAAGCGTGGGTGACGATTCAAATGAAAAATAACAAGTTTAAATACCCAGTCTTAGAACCCTGAAAAGTTTCCTCCAAAGGTATGGCACGCACAGCAATATTCAATCCTTGCAATATATCTTTAATCCTTAAAGTATTCACTTATTTAACGACGTAAAAAAGCATTAAATCCAATTGTTAGTAAGACCTTTGTTGGAAATCAAACCTTTGGTTTTCGTGATTTCATCCAATATCACGAGTACTGATTTTACAAATACCACAAGGAGTACGTTTTACTGCAAATGCCTTGCTTTACCTGGGTAGTCTTTCGTATCTCAAATTTGTTGAGTCCGGCTGCAGAAGAACGTGAACTCTTCACACGATCTCCATCTCCTTGTCAAAGTTATTGATTTTTCGAAAAAGGGTTCGGAGAAAAACAGTGACAACAAAGACTGTTTATTCGCAACAAGAAACATTGAAAATTTCACGCTAACAGTGGAGAGACGTCAATATGAAAACAAGCTTCAAAAATTAGTTTTTGCTCTCTTGAGCTGTTAGCCTAAATACAAAAATACCGCTTCTGATCCCAACTTACCAGTTTTAGATTCACAATTGGAAATAATGCCTTATAGACATAGTTATTTTCAATTTAAAAACTTCATACGGTAGCCAATCAGTCGTTAAAACCAATTAATCTTATTTTCATTGTGCTAGCTTTAATATTCCTATTCAATTAAAAAAGAAAATTCGCCAGGCAGGGTCAGTTCCAGCACTAAATTCCTTTAGGCTGTAGAGTACTACCATTGAAATTCTGGCCTTTTCTGTTCTCTCCCTCCTCTAGCTTCTTCGGGTGATGCTACTATCTACCTGTCTTCGTCTTGTCTAGTATGTTGAGAGAGGAAATTCACCTTTTTCAGTATGTTCATGGCCAACATTGATACACACTGGTAGTCTTCTTTAAGTCAAGGAAAATTCCCATATATTCCCTTCGTCAGACATTTCTCAGATTGAGACACTCTTAAAATGACAAAGCTCTTCTCTTCTTGTTTTCCAAAGTAACAATTAGGTGCGTTTAATGTCAGAAGATGATGATTTAAGAGTTTATCACGTAAGTTTAAGTTTTGGTACAGAATATGGTTTGAAACGACTATTTTTGAAAAGCAACGTCAAGTGAATGATTTCCTCTTCAATCATATTCATGATGCAGACTTCAGTCTCAATCATAACGTCTCATTTTTCAATCACATACCACGCTTATAGGAGCTACCTCGCTTGCATTGCTAAAATCCTCTCAGTTCAACCTGTATGAGACTAATACAATTGCTCGGTAAGGAAAAAAAAGCGAAAAGCAATGATGGTTTAAGAAGGTTCATGGTTTTCTAAGAATGGAGAACATTTAACTTATTTAGCACCATCAAAATGTTCAGCATAAACATCTAAAGGCTTACTGATGTAAGATGCGCAAATCTTGGCTCGACCAGATATGAGAAAATGACATCCCACGTAAGAAAAGAGACTAAAACCACTGGTTTAAAAATTGACGAAATGTTCTGGAATAAGTTTTGATTAAATAATTCATTTAATTAAATGTTGATATAGAGCCTCACTGACAGGAAATTGTTTAGTATATTTTAGGTCTGTCAATCTGACAGGAAAATATGTGTGTCGTTAGCACATGGACCAATACCAAATTAAATGTGGTTAACACTTTTTTTGGTCAATGAAGGTTTTTGTTGTCTAGCCATCATGCAGATGAAAAAAACGTTTCAAATCGCCCACATTTTTGAGATGCTTACGGTGATGTGGTTTGTGTGAAAATTGTTTGCTTCTTAACTTTCCTCCGTTGAAGTCTAAAAATTGTTATCTGTAATTAGTGTTAGTTTTGTTTCATGTGCATTTACAACGACTCTTCCGTTTCCCGTGGCCGGTGCCGGCCTCATTGTAACATTTTAGGACCTTTTATTTCCCTGATTTAAATAGCAACAAGGAATAAGTTTTCAAGACTATACTTCCTTCTCATCCAAATACAATGAGCTTCCACCAGAGGAAATTTCTTTATTTAGACAATTAAGGTAATATCATCCTATTTGGAAGGTAATGCCAACAGCTATTGAAGGCTGATATCAAATGCGGAGTTTGATCTTAAAGCCAATATAGTTCGGGAAAGAGACTACCATCTGTTTGCATTTTCTCTTCAAAATAATTTTTTATACCGCAGAACGTTCATATAAACTTAGTCATCTGAGCTATTCGAAAAATGACGCTGCCTGATGGTGATAGAAGCAAATCAGCGAAATTATATCGATCATGCTATTTACGGGGGTGCCCACGCAGTACAGGGATGGCTTATCCATCAAACAGTGTCAGTCAGCCGTATATTTTGCCCTGATATATAGCTAAGTTCCGGGACACAATGAAAAACCTCTGGGAATTCTTATCTATTACTCTCTGTAAATTTAAGTTTTGGGATTTGATCCTGTCTACCTATTCGTTCAGTTAGCCCTCAAGCGATTGCACAAACACCATCAAGAGTCTCCGCGATACCACTAAAGCCAAGGTATAAATCAGATTTAAGTTCTTCATCAAAATTCAGTCTCGACGGGGAAATATATCTGCAGGTTTCTTGATATAACCCAACGAGACAAGTCGCGTAAAAGAAACAATTACCAAATATTTACGAGTTAAAAGCTGACACCTTTCCTCTCGGAAAGAGGTTTCTTTCCTTCTCTACTCAAACGTGGATACATACGAAAATTTCTAAATAAAAATTATGTATGTTGCGGTGTTGAATATTCAAAGAATGTAGACATAGGCTGACATTCCTAAACAGAAGAGAGGTGAAGTTGAGTCAGAGATTTGTGCATGCAATCTGGAAAATCATTCGAGACTTCATTCTATAATACCTTGATGTTATTTGTTTACCATCGATCTCTAAAATTTGATTGTAGGCTTCCCACTTCATCATTAGAAGCCATAGAAATGCGATGATACTCGTGACGCCACTGTTTTGACAATGTTTTTCTTTTATTATACCAATTCTAGTCCCAATCTGTATCTCTTATTCTTGTTCTTTTGTTTTGTTTTTCTGTTTAATTTTTTTTTCCTTTTTCGTTGTGAAGTGACTCGGCCCTAAAGATAAGATTAACCCTTATAGTATAGCGTTAACATTCACAGTTATAGAGGAAGGTATCAGAATATTGTACCGTGAGGAGGTTAGAGAACTCGTCACTTGAGGTAATTCACCGTCACCAGAAGCGATTAGAAATACTAGTTTATGTTCATGTTTTAGTAGCGCACGACAATAACCTTGTCTAGATCATTATCTAGTACAAAGGTAGTTACGCAGACTCAATATGCCCTATTCTTGTTCTAGAAATTACTGCGAAGTAACTCATCAATAAAAGTACTTCAATTTATTTGAAGTAGTGGTGTGCGGCCACACTTCCCACGCTCTTGTTTGGGGCGTTTCTCAGGAAGGCGATCTACATTTCCGCTTCAAGCTAAGAACCATTCAGGTTTAAGGGTTTTTAGATCTTGTCTTAGATGATAGATATCCTACTGTGTGCATTAAATATGTATATTCTATACACTTCAGCTTGTGCTCCTAATAATAGTGACGCGCTAATGAGTATAGGCGCGGAGCGGCCTGGCGCCTGGCGCCTGCAAGGAGTGATGTCTCATGATTAGTAACACGGAATACCTTGTGAGAAGTGTGTGCCGAGACCGAGCGCTTCAAGGTGACTAACAGCGACATACATTTGTTTCTAGAACTTCAAGTCGGTATACGTATCCATCATAAGTTTGTTCCGAACATGGCCCTTTTCATGTCATGCATTTGTAGAGGTGAGTGGTATGTTGTATATTTAAAAATGTTCAACCGAGTCGTAGCTCAGTACCACTAATCGTGTAGGTCACTGTGGGTCAGTAACAAAGTGAATTCTTGCGCGTTGTTTTCTCACTGGCTATTGGTTACAGTCATCCGTCAAATTCTAGCCAAACGGGTGTATTTATTTCCCTGTTTTACATTAAGGCATAAGATCTCAACAAAAATAGAATGCACTTGAATGATACCATAACAAGCTTCGACGTTGTACATATCCACAAATATAGAAAAAAAATAAAAAATACGCTGAGAAAAAGTAAACGGGTACTAAATCTCTGGTTTTGAAGCAGAAACAGTTGTTTTCCTTTAAAATGTAGAATAATTGACATCGTACAGTTGTGTATTTAAGTTTATTACTAACCACTAATATGCCATTGAAGCATTCATAATATCAGATCTGATCACTTTGCCACCCGAATGTCACGATCACAATGCAACGCATGCGTTTTAGTGGCTCATCATATTGTAGTTATCTTCATTGTGCATAGTTGATGTGTAGATGTAAGATAAACTGGGCGAGAAGACGATGTTTGAAGGGAGCTGATTTCTCGCTTTAAGGAATACCTTCAGCGGGCCTCATTTTGCTCTATGATTAAGTCCATGCTACGTATAGGTTTTGCAATAAAAATCTATGTTTACCGACAAATAAACGCCGGAAAGCAACAACCACCGGTTCTGCAGTGTAAACTCTGTATTTCATACAATTTGCAGCACGTGTCAAAGGTGGAGTCAAAAGGGTAACACTTTTTTTATACCTTTTTTGTTTTATTTTTTTCTAGTCCATACCTTTCACCCTATGACCCCTACGCGTGACTAGCAACTAATTTCTCTTCACAAAATCATTCCCAAATCACACACTAAGATCACGAGAATAAAGGAAATGATCACCAACTAAAGAAACGCGTTGCTGTTAAAAACAAATTCTCCTTGACAGAATCTTACGATAAATATGGAGAATAACATGGACAGTATGCATACTGATGTTAGATTGTAATCAGGGTTAAAAAAAAAAAAAACTTTGGTGAGGCAGCTGTTGCTAGGACGTTCCAAAGGGAAAAATAGAGGAAGATGCCGTGAATTTTCGCAGTTTTTAAAAACTTATTTTCATTAATAAGACATCACACGATTCTGAATTTTTCAAAAGTCTGACTTTTTGCCATGCAAAAGACCTCCTTCACCTTGGGCCAACTTGTACATAGCTGAACACCCTACTGTTAAGTTCAGTGAAATAGCACACGACAAATTTATACAGCCCTGAATATTTACAACCTTATTTAGATATCTTCTCACTCACAACATGCGTAGCCACTGATAGCAGACAATTTATATTCCATTCTGCACTTACGGATTTACGCGATAGTTGGAAATTACATGAGGGAAAGTGTTCATTGCGAACGTAACTGACTACAAAGACGTTATTATTAGAACTCTCCTCTATTTATAAAGCTAATCCTCAACTATTTTTGGTACATCTTGATGAGCTACTCAGTTACAAATTCGGACATCTAATTTCCATTGTTTGCTCGGCAACATTCATGCACATAGCGAAGCAAAATCTAGGAGAGTTGTCATAAACGATTATTGTTCGCAAACGACCGTGCAACAGGTTGAATGTTAAATCCTCTACATT